CAGCCCAGAGATGACATCACCCTCCATGGGTGGGGCCCTCTCGGTGGGGCCCTCTCTCAGTGTTCACTAAATGAGAAAATGCCTTATAACTGGATCTCATGGAGGCATTTCCTCGGCTGAGGCTCCTTCCTCTCTGATGACTCTAGCTTGTGTCAGGTTGACACAAACCACCCAGTATCGTGAATGTGTGTTCACCACACAAGTGTCTCTCATTTCACTGGAGAACTTTTTCATTTTTTTAAATTTTCTTTTATGTGCATGAGTGCTTGCCTGTGTGTATGTCTGTGTACTGTGCACATACCTGGAGCCTGCAGACTCAGAAGTGTTGTATCCCTAGAACTTGAGGTACTGGTGGTTGGAAACAACCACCTGGGTGCTGGGAGTTGAACCTGGGTCTTCTGCAAGAGCAACAAGTGCTTTTTGTTGACTGCTGGGCTATCTTGTCAGTTCCTGAGATTCTCTTCTTTTCTTTTCTTTTCTTTTCTTTTCTTTTCTTTTCTTTTCTTTTCTTTTCTTTTCTTTTCTGTTTTTCAAGACAGGGTTTTTCTGTAGCTTTGTAGTCTGTCCTGGAACTAGCTCTTGTAGTAGACCAGGTTGGTTTCAAACTCACAGAGATCCGCCTGTCTCTGTCTCCTGAGTACTGGGATTAAAGGCATGCGCCGCCACCACCCAGCGAGATTTTCTTTAAGTTGAAGGTGTGCACCATCACACCTGGTTCACTCAGGAATTTGGTTTAGCAAGTGTGGCTAGACCATTGCCTGTTAGTCACTCTCAGTCTGAAGAGGGTGCAGACGCAAGTGTTTCAGGACTGGGACAGAGGCAGGTCTTGGAGCAGGAAGATGAAATGAGGCCCAGTTGAAGGGGGCTCAGAGCACCCCCACTGCTCCTACCATCCACTGTTACCATCAAAGCCCACCAGGTAGCACTCCCCTCCCCAAGATCCTCTAGGGGAAAGGTCAGGTGATGGTTTTTCTGGGCTAAATTGTCCCTGGCTTCCAAACAGGTACATGAGACACTCTTAGTATTAATGTGTGTCTGAGTTCCACAAGAGATGGACATGGGGTACAGACTGGGGTCCCCTATTGGCCCCTCTGATGTCTCAGTAGCCCGTGGCCTATCCTGTAGGGTCACATTTGAAATGGCCTTTACTCCAAAGTATACTCATGGATGAGAGGGACACCAAGGTTTGCTGCTGGCCCCCAGTAACCCACTGCCCACCTCTCTCTGGGCCTTGAGTGCTCCAGGAACACCCGGGTGGGTGGGTGGTATGACCTCCCAGCATAACCGTGCCTAACTTCCTGGCGTCTTTCTGCAGAAACCAGGTGGCCCTGAGGCTGGCCTACATTGGTGATGAGATGGACCTGTGTCTGCGGAGCCCCCGTCTGGCCCAACTGCCCGGGATTGCCATGCACAGGTAACCAGCTGCCCAAGTGGGCAGGTGGAGCCAGAACCAGCACAGGCCTGGGCCCTAAGGGTGGTGCCCTGCAAACCTTGGAAGAAGTGTGGGAGCTCCCAGGCAAGCTTGAAACCCTTTGCTTCCCAGCCCCCAACCTTTGCTGGGTCCCCCAACCTTTGCTGAGTCCCCCAACCTTGCATCTGGCCGTAGCAGTAGGTCAAGCTCCACCCAGGGTCTTTCTGTTGCCCCTCATCAGGCTGGACAGTCCTGAGAGGTCCCAACTCCCAGGGCAGTGTGGACTAGACCCCAGAGGCAGCCCCTCGTTTGGTCTCCGAGGAGGACAGGTGTAGGTAGTGACTTACTCAGTGGCCTTCAGAGTGGTGAAGACCACTCTGGGCAGAGACCCAGAATGCAGTCTAGGAGACTTTCTTAGTGGAGAGAGCAGGGTGTCTGAGGACCACAGAGGCTGTGTGCCATGTTGTAGGTAGGTCACGTTGTAATGAGTCACATGTGCAGGCATCCAGTGTCTGCTGCTACAGTAACCACCTTGCCCATTCCATGTCTTACAGACTCGCTGTTACCTACAGCCAGACGGGTGTCAGGGGAGTTTTCAGAAGCCTGATTCGCGGGCTCACCAATCTCAAGGAGAACATCTGGTCCTGGAGAGTTCTGACTCCTGGCACCTGGGTAAGAGCCTTGACGCCTCTGGTCCACTGTGTGTGCTGTCTGGTTTGCCAGTCTCCACCCCTCTCTAGAGCTTCCTTCCACTTCCGCCCCATCCCAGAAGCCTTAGTGTGTGCAGCAACTGCTGACTGGCTGCTGAACTCGCGAAGGTTCAAGTACACACGCAACAGTGCCTTCCGGTCTCTGCTGCAGGGATCCTTCCTCTGGCAGACGGGACCCTCTCTCAGCCATGGTCTCAGTGCAATGCCGGCTCCCCTGCTCACCTCCACTGGCTTGAACGCCCATGTTCACACCGTGACCCAGGACCCCCACTTATGCTTGGTCCCAGTCCCCAGGAGCGGTCTCTGCTCACCCCAGATGGTCCCAAGGCCTCATTCTCCCTTTCCTCTTGGTCCCACAGGTGTCACCTGGCCAGGCCCGCGGACAGCTGTTTCCCATGGTGCTGTTGGTCCTCTTACTGCTGGGTGAGGCCTTGCATTTGCAGCTTCAGTGAAACCCAGTGGGGCAGGGCTGGTCCCTGCCCCTCAACCACCCCCTAGAGGTGCCGGCACCCTAACTGTGGTGTTTCCTGACTGTCCCCTTTTTTTTATATTTAACTCAGGATAGTGCTGAGATTTCATACAAGTTTTCTGGGTTTTTGTAAGGCAAATGAATTCACCGTACCTCAGGGGCATTACTGGTTAAATGCCCTTAAGGCCTGGCTGGCTCTTGACCCCTGCCTGCCTTTCTCTCTGCAGGCTGGGCCTGTGGCCACCAGTGGGGGGAGTGCTGGCCACACCCCTGTTTGTGAAGCCTTGAGGCACAGAATCTACTGGACTAGATTCTTTGGGGTGAAGAGTTCAATAAAGTGTTGTTTCCAGGAGAGTTCAATAAAATGTTGTTTTCAGCCAGCTTCCCCTTAGGTCCTCTTGGGGGGCTGTCACAAAACTGAATATAGATGGTGATAGGGGGAAAGGGTGGCCTTTGTCCCTCGTCCTGTGCATCCTGCCTGCACCCCAAGGGCCATAGGCACCCCAAACCCCTAGATACGGTTTCTCTGCATAGCTCTCTGCCTGTCCTGGAACTATGTAGAGATCTGCCTGCCTCTGCCTATGCCACCACACCCAGCTCCACAGCACTCTTGTCCCCTTCTGCCTGTGAGCCTAAGGGGAGTCTGTCCACCTCCTGTGTGTATGTGGGGGGTACAGCTGTCATGAAAATCCGTGGTGCTGGGATGTGCTGCACAGGGAGCCCCGACTCCCACACCGGGGCTCGGCACCCCAACCCTAGGCCTGGCCCATTCTCTTTCTAGACCAACCAGGGCCTCCACCTGGAACTTTGCCCATTCCCATTGGACACCAAACAGTGCCCCTCCCCAGTGCCTGTGACCTCAGGGGCCACTTTCTCTGACCTCCTCCCAAATGCCCTTTTTATGTGTACTTGAGTTGTCCCAAATTCCCCAGGTCTGGGTGAGGTGCTTTTTCAGTCTCTGCAGTCTTGTGTCTGTTACCATCTTGGTCATATCTTGCAGCCTTGGTGCCCTTCCTGGGAGGACAGGACCACATAGCAAAACCTCCCTGAGAAGAGCCATTTTGGGAGATGGGGCAACCTGGCATCCAGACCAAGGGTCAGGAGACTGACGGTGGGATGTTAGGCTGCAGGGCTGTGACCAGGGGTGGCTGTCAGGGCTGGCTCATTCCTGAGACAGGAACTAACTCGACTGTGGCTGTGAGTCCTCCACCAAGGTGGGGGAGATGGTAGGAGCTGGAATGAGTTCTGCTCCAGAGACGAGGAAAAGGCCTTCTTAGCCTGGGCAGATGTCAGTTAGTTCCCATCCATGTTTGCCACAGACCACCACCAGCCCCAGGGGCCTCAGTGAGCCTCCTAGCTGTGTGGCTGCAGGCTCTAGGCCCTCTCTTCAGCAAGGCAGTTATGGCCCTCATGCTGGAACCTCACTCCAGGTAGTGGGAACCTGAGGCCACACCAGAACACCTGCACTCCCGCTTTTCTGGGCTTTCCTCAGCTCCTGTGCCTTGGGTATTTCTGAGTTGGCACCAGCCCAGTAGGTGCCACCTACCATCCTGTCCCAGCTGCCCCAGGCCCCTAGGGTGGCCACAAATGCTGTTTAGAACAAAAGCCACCTGCTTTGGGTACTCCTCTTTCAAGACACAAAACTAAACACCAGAGCCCAACCCCAAGCTATGTTCCAGGTTCAGTCTTCAGTGAGACCAGTCCTGGTTACCAGCAGAACTGGGATGGCTCCCCAGTGCTCACAAGTGGGGACAGAGACTTGTCACACTTACCACAGCGGCTTCAGTCCGAGAATCTACATACCACTCCCCTGCAGCAGGCCCAAGGAGGGATGGAGGGTTTGGGGACAGTGGGCATCTTCCCTGAGGTGATAAGGATGTGGGAGCATCTGGGGTCTGTCTTGTGACACTGGATGGGACTGACCACGCCCTGTGTGCTGTCACCTGGATTGCCCTGGTTCAGGTCAACCTCATGCTGGGCTCGGGAGAGGCGAGCACAAGCTTCTGAGGGGGCAGCTGCCCTATAGACAGCCAGGCCATGGTGCTCCAGACCTGGAGCCCAAAGTGGAACCACAGGAGCCAATCCCCTGCAAGCAAATGCTGATGGCTGTCCAGAATCCTCATTTATAGACTGCTCTGCCTGCTTGAAGTCAAGCTCAGAGTTAAAGCCATTCTCCTGCCTCAGCTAAATGGATGTGGTGCAAACTACACTTGCACTTCAGTTGAAATCCACAGGGCATCTGGAGGTCACTGGCCAGGACCAAGGACAGTTGCACAGCATGGGGGACAGTTGGGCAATAGGACAAGTCCTGCCTGGAGGCTGCTGTCCAGATTAGGTGCAGGTCTCCCCAACAACAGAACAAGTTCATGGGCTCCCTTCCCAAGGCTCCCAGCATCACTGAATGAGAAAGCCAGCCAGGCAGCTTAGAAAGGCTCTCATTTATTCTGCGTCCTCCCAGGAGCTCTGCTCTATCCCTGCTGTGGAGCAGGCTGTGCTGTGATGGAAGCCACAGACACAGCTGATTCTGCAGTGACCACTGCCCTGTGGACAGTTTGGTGGTGGGGTCTCTCCGTGGATGAACTGGGGCTGGCCTAGGGCAGTCAGGATCCCAGGCCATCCTTCTTGCCCAGATACACCCCGCACCTTGCACCATGCTCCAATTTTCTTCAGGAGGGACCACCCACTCTAGGGCAAACAATAGGCACTTAATATGTGCTTCTTGGATATGTACAGTATGTGGCACTCAATCTCCAAGCTGTCAAGTGAGGCAAGGACAAAGTGGCTGCCAAGGCCACTGGACAGATTCAAGGCCAAAGAAGCTATGACCTCAACCCTGGGTGAGCAGCATGACACAGGTAGCTGATGGGCCCCTCTGGCCCCAGGCCTGGTTTGAAGTCAAGCAGTGTGTCCATGGCACCAACAGGGCAAGACTAAGGCTGCCCCAGGCTTGCCTTTGCTGGATTCACTGAGGGGCATGGCTGGGTACAGAGGCAGAGCAGCTGGCTGGGCAGGTGGTCTGCATAGGAATTCTTCCCCCCTGCAGCCAGATGTCTTGTCAGGTGTGGGGATGGGTTGAGTCACACAATGTGGCACTCGAGGGCTGAGTGACCCCTGTCCTCTAGTTTGAGGAAAGGGGGCAGGTACAGAGGCTCATGCTGGGGCCATTCCACTCAAGGCCCTCAGTGATCAGGATCCACGCTGGTCTGCATCACATCCACGTGGCTGTAGGACTTCCATGCCTGCCCGTTGCAGCTCTTCAGGATGCTTCCCAGCTGCCGCCCGGGGCCCACTTCAAAGGTGCTGGGGAACTCAGTGCCCTTCTTCCGCTTGTAGATACAGTGCATTGTCTGTTCCCACTTCACTGGAGACACCACCTGCTGCCCCAGCAGCTTCCGGATGTGTTGGGGATGCATGTATTTATGTCCACTGACGTTAGAGTGGACAGCAACCAGTGGCTTCTTGATGTTAATCCTGTCCAGAATTTTCACCAGGGGCTCCACGGCTGGCTCCATGAGGCAGGTATGGAAGCCACCACTTACCGGCAACATCTTGGTGCGCCTGAAGTGATACTTAGCAGAATTCTTCCGGAGAAACTGTAGGGCCTGATGGGGAAAAATGAGGAATCTCACTCACAGAAGCAAAAGTTCCAGCTGTTGCTTGAATCCTTATGTGTGTGTGGCAAGGGGTGCTGGGATGGAACCCAGGGGTCTGTGTGTGCAAAGCAAGAATTCTACACTGAGGTGCACCCTCAGCCCTTGGCTTTTTGAGACAAGGCCACTGTCCAGAGCCCAAGCTAGCTTTGTACTCACAATCCTCCGGCTGAGCTTCCTGGGTGCTAGGATCACAGGGTGTGCATCACCAACCACATATGGCCCACAAGCCCTTCAGCTATCACCTTAGTTCACTTTTTCCATTCTAGTTAACCTGGTTTTAGTCAATGCCCCAGCAATCTGTCTGTCTTTTTTTTTTAAAGACTTATTTTATTATTATGTGCATGAGTGCTTTGCCTGCATGGGTGCCACACTCATGCCTGGTGTCTGAGGACAATAGAAGAGGACGCCTGATTCCTTGGGACTGGAGTTATAGATGGTTGTAAAGATCATATGGGTTCTGAAAACCAAACGTGGGTCCTCTGCAAGAACAAGTGCTCCCAACCTCTGCACCATCATCTCTCCAGTCCCCTGGCGTTTGTTTGTTTGTTTATTTATTTATTTATTTATGGAGGGTGTTGACATGCACCTGCTCCAACTAAGATGTGACCATAGCTGTTTAGTAGAAACCATTGGCCTAGAACTGTCCAGTGTGACCTACCGTGTCAGATAGTCCCCAAGGGGCTGTGGTGCTCACAGGCTCAGAGGTGGTATTTGACGACACCCAGCAAAGGTGGCCCAGATAATGGGAGGAAACCACCAGGATGAGGACATAGAGTCGGTGGCAAAGAACTGTGTGTGTGCAGTTTGTCTGGATTTTGAGTCAGGGTCTCACTATGTGAGCTCGCCTAGAACTCACTGTAGACCAGACTGGCCTTGAACTCAGATATCCTTCTGCTCCCCTCTGAAGCACTCACTCTATCACACACGCCCTCAGCCATTTTCTCCAGGCCGTGCTCAGCAAGGCACACACCCTCCCACTGGGACCTCACAGGTGTAGACTCCCTGCTCCACATGGACTGGAGTCTGTAGTGTGGCTTCCCATCAACACTAACCTCAAGGTGTCCTGAGATGACCCTGCAATCAGGAAAGAGGTAGTTGGACACCTGGCACACCGGGTTCTCTATGCCCAAGGATTTGCAGTGCTCCTGGGCTTCCATGCAGGCAAAGGCGAAATTGGACTGGCGCTGGCCAAGGACAGACAGCATCCCACTGGGGACAGCTTCAGAGGCTTCTTGCATGGCTTCGGCTCGGACTTTCACTGCATACAGACCTATCCAGATAGAAGGGCGTTTGGAAGTCTAACTGAAATGGAGGGTGAGCCATCATCAAGGGGAACAGTGACAGTGGTGCTGACTGCCAGTCCAAGGGCCACAGTTCTGACCATCTTTATCTGCTGTGCTAGTGGTCACAGCGTAGGGGCACACGTACCGCACAGGATCGACCCAAGTTCAAATCCTTAGCACTTCTCATACAAGAGAAATCAAGCATGGCTATGTAAGCCTATAACCCAGCAAAGCAGGATGGTGGGGCAGAGGCAGAGACTGGCAGCCAAGCCCTGGGCAACGGTGGGCACACATACGTAGAACTGTTGACAGGAAGCAGGAGAAAAGGCAAAGAAGGTGAAGGGTAAGTGTGAACATCTCCCATGTTACTGTGAGATGCCACACAAAGACATGTAGCATACACCTGTGATATGCTGTCGTTCTGTAAACTGCACACGCAAAACTAAAGCCAGTGCTGTCAACAGGAATGGAGACACTGCCACCACGTCCATGGCAGCAATATGCTTTTGAAAACAGCATTGGGAAGTCGGGCAGTGGTGGCGCACAACTTTAATCCCAGCACTTGGGAGGCAGAGGCAGGTAGATCTCTGTGAGTTCGAGGCCAGCCTGGTCTACAGAGTGAGTTCTGGGACAGTCAGGGATATACAGCAAAACCCTGGTATAAATAAATAAATAAATAAATAAATAAATAAATAAAACCAAGCAAAACCCAGCATTGGGGCTGGAGATATAGCTCAGTAGCAAAGTGTTGCCTACCACGCTTCAGGCCATAGGTTCAATGCCCAGCACCAATCCCTCAAGAACACCTCATTCCTTTTTCCTCTAATCTCTGGAGGATCTGCCCCTTCTACCAATTGGATTCATGTATTGTGGACACTTCATGTTACAACCTAACAGTACAGTGGCTGTACTATTTATATTCTAAGAAGCTGGAACCTAGGCTGATTTCTGCACATTCTCAACCCTTCTCTCCCATAGGGTATGAAATGCTGTTCATGTGGGCTGACCTGCATTTTTTTTTTTTTTGATAACCACTGTTGATAAACATGTACTTGTTGGCTACCTGGGTCTCAATTCTCGAGAAATGTGCATTCATCCCTTCCCTGTATTGACCTATAAAGCAAACTTTAATCAATGAACAGATCAGCCAGTCAGTCACTTGTGGTATCTGCTCTTGCTCTCTCACTCGTGTGTGTGTGTGTGTGTGTGTGTGTGTGTGTGTCTGTGCCTCTCCTTCCCTTCTACCCCCAACTCTCTCTCAGATAGACTGTTACCTAGGCTAGAATTGAACTCAAATCCTCCTTACCCCCCTTTGAGACAGGATTTCACTATGCAGCCCTTGTGGGTATAGAACTTGATATGTAGACCAGGCTGGCTTACTCACATAGATCCACTTGCCTCTCCAAGTGCTAGGATTAAGGGAATAAGCCCCAGCTCAGTTCAGGTGAGCTTCTTGCTACAATCTCCCAAGAGGCCAAGACTACAAACATATGCTACTGTGCCTAGCTTCAGCAAAAAAAAAAAAAAAAAATCTTTTTTTTTTTAAATTTATTTATTCATTATATATACACTTTCCAGGATACAGTGCAAGATCTCATTACAGATGGTTGTGAGCCATCGTGTGGTTGCTGGGAATTGAACTCAGGACCTCTGGAAGAGCAACTAGTGCTCTTAACCTCTGAGCCATCTCTCCAGCCCCCCAGCAAAAAAAATCTTAGGAAAAAAATCTGGAAAGATGGCTCGTCGGTTAAGAGTACTAACTGCTCTTGCAGAGGATCCAAGTTCAGTTCCCTGCACTCATGCGGATGCTGGGAGTGGGCTTTACATACATACACTAGGCAACCAACGAGCAAAGTACTCATTTACTTTTGTTTTCGTGTAACACCTACTGAGCATCTTCCAGGTGTGACAGGCACAGAGAACAAATGCCTTAGGAATAAAAAAGGAGAGCCAGCAAGGGGGCTCAGTGTGTAGAGGTGCCCGTGGCCAAACCTAACAACCTGAGTTCCATCCTGGAAATACACATGTTGGAAGGAAAGATAGACTAATTCCTAAAAATTATCCTCTGACCTTCTTACATATGCCATGGCATGTGCACGCATGCGCACACACACTCACACAAGCACAGTTTTATGTAATTAAATAAAAGAATGCAGAGGGCAGTGAAGAAAGGTGAACGAAGGACCAGACTTCATGAGATCACACGTAAACAGTAAACCTGCATTGTATCCTTCAGGCTTCAGAGGGGATCAGTGGAATTCGGTCTTGAGCTCCAGGGTCATCTTCAGCCCTGTGCTCCCTTCGTGACAACCTTGGGGGTCCAGCACCACTGTCCAGAGTCCCCTGTCCCCACTGAGCCCAGCAAGAACACACCCGGCACAAGCCAAACTCCTGGTATACCTTCAGCAAACTCCATGGCTCCAGCAAACACGAGGGCTGCAAACTCCCCGACACTGAATCCAGCTGCAGCAACACAGTTCTCAATGACCTGCGGTGACAGAGCAGAGCATGAGGCTGAACCCGCAGCAAGAGTTCAGTCCCGGGGATGCACCTGGGAATTGGCAGAGCAGTTAAGTGTCACCACGAGCCGATTCTAATGGCCTGGTACTCCAGCTCGAAGAGGACACACAGAGCTGGGTCAGCAACCTGAGTCTAGCCCTTTATGGACGAGAACCTTCTGGAGAAAGATGGACGAGAGCCAATCCTACTCACACTATGACCCAGAGCTCTCGGTGCTCTCGCCTTCTCTGCACGGCCAGAGCAGTTTCTTGGGCACACAGGGTAAAGAAATTACTTGCACACTGCCAAGGCCACTCATGGCTGTCATCGCAGCACTGAGGGAGAATGAAGCTAGAGGATTTTGAGGTCACTGACAACACAGCCACATTACAGTTCATCGTCCCATGCTCCCAACCAAAGCAAAAGTATGATTCTCCAGGCCACAGAGAACTGGACTTCAGTCCCCCAGACCTACTTTATACTACTATTAAGAAAGTAATACTATAATCTCTATAAAAAGCACAGCCTTGGCCCAAAGTAAACACAGTAAACATGAAGTAAATGTGCCACAGGACCATACTCATTCCTGTAACTGAGCCTTCTGTCACTGCATCTTACAGCGTGGCTGTGAAGGCAAAACAGAGGTCTCAGCACCAGCTAACATGGATTGCCCTGGTATTACTCTATTTCAACAGCAAATAAAATCACATGCTATAATATCTGCCATGCCATTTTCTTTTTTCAGACAGGGTCTCACTGTGTAGTCCTGATTGACCTGAAACTTGCTATGTAGACCAGGATCCCCTGGAACTGGAGTTAAAGACAGTTGTGAGCTGCCATGTGGGTGCTGAGAATTGAACTTGGGTCCTCTGGAAGGGCAGCCAGTGCTCTTAACCGCTGAGCCTTCTCTCTATTGAGTCCCTCAATACATAAACAAATGAAATCTTAAAAAGATTTATGTGTATTTATGTTTTGCTTGCTTGAATGTTATGTGCACGTGGTGCATATACTTGGTGTCCACAGAAGTCATAAAACTGTCGGATCCCATAAACTGGAGTTATGGATAGTTGTGAACCACCACATGGGTGTTGGGAACCGAACCCAGGTCCTCTTACTTCAGAGACATCTCTCTGGCCCAACACATTCATCCTGAATGTACTATATTAGCTCGGTGCATTAAGTGTGAACTGTGTCTCTTCTAAGATGCAAACACCCCTGGAGCAAGGATTCTTGTTTTGTGCAGGGGGTCTAGAATACTAACAACGGGGACCAATAAGAACCAGACTGAAGACCCCGCAGACCCAGCAGACTCTCCTCAGCTCACCGCCGGCTGCAGACAATGTAGCTTCTCCACGGCAGCCAGCGAGGCCACGAAGACGGCGGGCTGGCAGTGCACCGTGCGGTCCAGGTCTTCCTGAGGCCCGCGCAGGCACAGCTCCAGCAGATCGTAGCCCAGCACCCGGTGCGCGGTCTCGTAGAGCTGGCGCACGCGCGGGAAGCCGAGCAGGCCGCCCCCCATGCCGACTGCTTGGCTGCCCTGGCCGGGGAAGAGCAGCACCGAGCAGCGCGCGGGCGGCCGCCGCGCCACCGCCTCCTGGGCCTCCTCCTCGGCCGAGCTGGCGTCCCGCAGCAGCTCCGCCACGTCCACGGCGTCCGGAGGCGGCTCCCCGTGGCTCGAGGCGGCGCGGCGTCCCCAGAGCCCCCGGGCCCACCCGGCCCGAGCTAACCGGGCGTTCATAGCGAGACACGGAGCCAGCGTTCGTTACCGCGGCGACAGAGGCACACTGCGGCTGCGCAGCCGTGCGGTCCTTCGCGTACTTCCTGTCGGGTCGCCTAGGTAGCCTGGAAAAAAAAAGTTCCTATGTTACCAATCCACCTCAGCTCTCAAACCATTTGCAGTTGTGTCTTGGTCCTGGAGTGGTCTGTGAGTTTTCTTAAGTTTCTACAGCCAGGAACCACAAACAGCATTCCAGAATGAACCCCCAATAGATATTTACGTACTAAATTGTGCAACGCCGTCCACTAGAACGTGGAAGAATACTGCGAACCCCTGCACGTTGTTTTATTTGTTTTTGCTCATGATTCTGCCAGCTGTACTAAGTAAGCAAGCAGTTCTCATGTTTCCTACAAGACGCAACCAGGTGTCCAACTCATAATAAGCAGTCAGTATATCTTAGTGCTATGGAACCAAGTCTGGGATCGTTTTCGGATTCGCTTTTTAAATTTCTCATTTAACAATCGAGGAGACAAACGTGTCAAGATTGAGAGACATATTTAGTGACAGAACAGGGAAGTTGTATATGTGCAGTCTCTGAGAGCTTTTGGGGGGGGGAGGTTGGGGGATGGGGTCCGGGTCAGAGTGATTCTGATCTCGCCCCTGTATCCCATTTCCGGAACTCTGATCTTTTCTCATTTCCTGCCAGTCTCTGCTAAGGCACCCAGGGGACAGGGACACACACACCCTACACTCACACATACATCCCACAGCACTTCATAATGAGAAGATCTATGTGGAGGTATGTTTCAGTGTACTCTGGCTGGCATTCCAATGCTATAGACTTAAGGGCCTAAATAATAGAAATTATATCTCAGAATTCCGGAGACTGAGAAGTTCAGGGTCAAGCGAGACACTTGCTGATGCAGTGACTGGATCAGCATAAGTGCCTTCACCAAGAATTTGACCTTGGGAAGCCTCAAACCCTTTTGCTTTTCCCTGTTGTTCTAAAATTTTTGCCTCTTCTCTCCAATAGCATTTCAACAATAGTTGTGACCTGTCTTCCAGTACCTCTGAGACTAATTGAAGCCAATCATGTGGGGTAGCCCATGTCTTTACCGGTTCCCTAACAAATAGTGAATGCAAGCTATAAGATACTACTGCATACCTAGTTTCTTTCAGATTGTTCATACTTATAGGTTTCCATCTACATTCTTTGAATCCTTTTGGGTATTTAGTACTTGATGGTTTGTCAGAGGTGACTTCAGGGTAAGTAGCTAAAACTCCTGGTAAGTTATCTCTGACTCTGGACAAGTACTGGTGGTGTTAATTCCTTTCCTTGTACCACCATCTTTTGTAAAGCCTGAATCTCTTGACTTGTGTATATTTCCAATGATTTCATCAATTCAAATAACTTTTGGTCCTCATTTTGCACATATGATCCCAAGGTATGAAATTTTTCCACTAATGATAACTTTTCGTCCTTGAATATTATTTGGATGGCGTGCAGATTGCCTTCCTGGAGAGATACTCTATCTGCTAACTTATAACTTTTTAACAGATTTTGATTGTCAGTTTTAACAGTGTGATTTTTTTAGGTAATTTCCCAGCACCCTTTTGTAAGGTTTCATAATCCATTGACATGCACTGAATTTTGTCTGTCAAATTGCTGTTATCCTTTTTAATGCTATTAATTGTTTTCAGCTAACTTTTGATTTTCAATGACATAAATCCTATCAGTTAACTGTTCATTATTAGTCTGTAAAGACTGTATCATTTTTAAAAGTGCCTCATTCTTGACTCTGCTATCAAATCATATTTTTAAGGGTACAATGTAAAGAACAAAGCTAAGTTCCAATATCATAAGAATGAAGGTATCAGAAAAACCACATAAGCCTTGCAGAATACCATCCATAGTATAAGCAAAAAAAGTTATTAAATTTGTGGATGGTGATATTGTCTGCTATTATACAATATTAAAATTTATTTATTAATCAACTTACCTTGTTAATGGGTTTTCAATATTGTTGTAGGTGTAATGATCTCTATTGGCCAGCAGGTGTCGCAGTTGTGCACGACCGGGAGTGGCAAGGCCACAAAAGTAGTTCCACACTAGCTCACATCTGTTTTTATAGTACCCAAGATCATGCCCAAAGTGCTCCAGCATCTCAAAGGCCATTGGCTGGGGAGTTTTCACAGCAAGGGTCTCTAAACCTGGAGGTCACTGATTTCATCTGGAGAGGCTGGGCAGCAGGCTCTAGAGAGCCTCGTGTCCCTTCCTCCCCAATGCTAGCATTACAGGTGCACACCTCCACATCCAACTTATTTACATAGATTCTGGAGATCTGAACTCAGGTCCTCAAACTTGTGTAACAGACACTTTAGAGACTGAGCTATCTCCTTGGTGCAAATGAGTCTTTTAAAGACAGAAAGAAAATAGAGACCCCAGTAACTGAACGTCTGGAAACCGAAAAGAAGAGAAGCTGTGTTATGTGTCTTGGCTGACCCCAGACTCTTTCCAGACACAGAGAAGGTGAAAGAACTGGCCTCATTCCCACAGCATCTGCAAAAGCAGCTGCTTCTCGAAAAGGGAGAAAGAAAGCTCAAAGCAACCTATTTGCAAATATCCTTGTGAAAAACTCTAGGACAACTCTGAGGCCTCTCAGCATTAGTGCTTCCCCCCTCCCCCAAACCAAGGACCTAACAACTGCACGTGCACGTACTGGAATGTTGGGGATTTTCCATCTCCCTGTGTCCTTGTGGATGTTCTCCAGATAGAACTCAGTTATTGGAATTGGGGCATGATAATCCTTAGATGTTGACTCAGTTCCGCGGCCTTGGTCAGGGGATATTGACTCAGTTCCTTGGATAAGCTTAGGATGACTCACAGATGTTTCCCCTTTACTCCACCTGATCTAGCAACCACTCTCTCACCATGGCTCAGACCAATCATTGCTAGTAGTCCTTTGAATCAGCCAATCCTAATAGTTGGAAAAACAACCCCCAGACTACCCCCTTGTTTCTGTGGCTTTTTACTTTAAAGGTAGCCTGTACCAGCTATTCGAGGTCTTTTGGCTTCTCAAATGCTGAAAGATCCTGTTGCAACAGAATTAAATCCTCATGCTTTTACATCAACTGTGGTGTGAGAGTGGTCTCTTGGGGCAACTCCTCCTCGGTGATTGGACTTCAGGGTCCAACACTTGAACATTAGTTAGATCCTTAGAAGCGTTTCCTCTCCCCAGCCACTGGTTCCTGTCCTGGGAGACACCTGAGCTTCCATTTGGAAAAGGTCAAAGGAGGAGAGGTATGGATGTGGAAATTCCTCTGAAGTAGGTTGATACTGAATGCTGGTTGCAGAGACCCCCTCCAGTGCTCTGCCCCAGTGAGCTCCCAGAATCCTAAAGTCAGACAGACCCTTATTCTGGAGTCCTGGAGATGTTGGCCATTCCAAAAGGAAAATCCTGAAGTCATTGGTATTCCAGGAATAATGAACCTTAACTGCCAAACTTCCACCCATAGACTTATAGACTTTCCTCTCTCTCTCTCTCTCTCTCTCTCTCTCTCTCTCTCTCTCTCTCTCTCTGTCTCTCTCTCTCTCAATTTCTCCTTTCTTTCTTTCTTTCTTTCTTTCTTTCTTTCTTTCTTTCTTTCTTTCTTTCTTTCTTTTTTTCTGACAGGGTTTCACTGTATAACAACCTTGGCTGTCCTGTAACTAGCTCTGTAGATCAGACTGACCTCGAACTCACAGATATCTGCCTGCCTCTGCCTCCCGAGTGCTGGGATTAAGAACGTGTGCTACTACAGCCTGGTTTATTCATTTCTTTTATTGTGAAAGACATCCAAGGATTCCTGGTCATCTGAGAAAAGCCTGCTACAGAATTTGGAAAAGAAAAGAGAAAGCCAGCACATAGAATTTGAAAACTGAGGAAAGAAGACAACAGTGTTTTTTTTTAATATTTATTTATTTATTATGTATACAATATTCTGTGTGCATGCCCAAAGACCAGAAGAGGGCGCCAGACCTCTTTACAGATGGCTGTGAGCCACCATGTGGTTGCTGGGAATTGAACTCAGGACCTTTGGAAGAGCAGGCAACGCTCTTAACCACTGAGCCATCTCTCCAGCCCCAACAGTGGTTTTTAAACATTAATTTTGGAGCCAGTGAGATGGCTCAGTGGGTGAGATGCTTGCTACTAAGTCTGACAACCGAGTTTGGTCCCTGGAAGCCACATGACAGAAGGAGAGAACCAACGTCTGCAGGCTTTCCACAGACCTCAGATACAAAATAAATACATGTAAAAATTTTTTTTAAAAAAACCAGCCAGGTGATAGTTACATACACCTTTAATCCCCAGTACTCTGGAGGCAGAGGCAGAAAGATCTCTGTGAGTTCGAGGTCAGCCTGGACTACAAGAGCTAGTACACAGAGAAATTCTGTCTCGAAAAACAAAAACAACAACAACAAAAATTAAAAAATAAAATTATCATCGACCTCTGCAGGAGGTAAGACGGTGTGCTTATATGACTGAAATGGGCAATGATATAATCGTGTGCATGAAAAAAATAGCAAAGCAGAACTGAAACAGTCAAGTTTAGAAGCGGCTGTTGGCACGGCCTGTGGGGTGGGGGCTGGGCGGGAGGGGGGGGGGCAAACGGGTAAAACATAGGAACTAAAGCAAGACCAGGGAGTGAGGGATCAGCACAGGAAGTCCAGGGCCTTGAGTGACAGGTGTTCCAGAAAGAGAAGTGAGGAAACAGAGGACAGGAAACAGAGGGGGATGGGGGAGCAATTCAATTCTGAAAAGTAACAACCAGGCTTTTCCACACTGACGGGGCTGTTGAAGCCCAGGCATGGTGGTTCACACCCGTAGCCCCAGTACTTGAGAGGCCAGGATGGAGGATCATGAGTTCTAGGCCTGCTTGGATTACAAAGGAGACTCCAAAATAAAGATAAAAAACGGGGACTGGAGAGATGGCTCAGAGATGGCACTGGGTTCGATTTTCAACACCCGAATGGAGACTCACAGCCATCTGCTAACTCCATTTCCAGAGTGTCCAGTGCCCTCTTCTGGCCTCTGTAGGCACCAGG